AAATTCTTACCTCAAAATCTTTAAATAGAAGTTAATGCTGAAAAACAGCAAAGTTTTAAGATGGACATAATTGTTCGTGTGTGTACATTTGCTTTTAAAATCCAATGTATTACATCTAGACAAATTATTTCAAGTAGCCAAGTTCAGTATATTTTGGTTTCCTGCTATAAATTATGCTATTTTTTATGAGTGTCTCTTCTTACAGAATGAGTTGTAGTTACATAGCCTTTAAATGCCAAAGAGAATACTAAAACACTGTCAGTTAAATTTTCTTCAGCTTGATAATGTTTTCTAAAGGATATGTGGTCATCCTAGGTGTATGACTAATTTCAAATGACCATGTACGATGGATAGAATTGTGTTCTTTTAGAGTGTATGTGCAATTAATAGTGGTTACTGTTGTTTCATGAAATCTCTTAGAAGATTATTTTGGAGGGGTGTAAGTCATTTTTGATTATGTAATATATTCACATATATATTTTTAATCTCATTTCTATATAGAAGTAAAGATGTCATTCTTTAAAAAAAATGACTAGCTCTGTTTATTTAGAAAGATAGTGAAAAAACAGGAATTATTTGTTATTACACTTTAGTTGTTGGGACAGCAGCACTGATCTGGTCAACTAACCTTTAAAAGAAAGTGCAAAGTCGGAGATGTCAGTGTGGTAGCTGTAGATATTCACTGGCAAAGTTTTTAGAACAATGATTGGAACTTTAGGAGACGCTCCTGGGATTTAGTGTACTCTGACATCTATTAATCCCTGATACGTTAGGTGACTTGTCAAAGAAGTGCTGCATTTACAAGGGGTTTGCAAGGAGGCCCAAGAGGGCACATTCAGCTAAAGGTCAAGGAAGCAATTAATGTTCTCTGCTTTTCCCTAAAGAACTTCCAGAGCAAAAGCTGCCCCTCCACCCCCCATCTTAGCAAGGCAAGTGAATCTAGTGAAGTGAAAGTTAAAGTTCAAATACAACATATTACCAATATTATTTGGTTCTTAGAGCTATTCCTGTGAATGTGAATACATGCCGTGGTTTAAGGAGAAATATAGTGAAATATATTAGAAGAGGTGACTCATGCTGAAGACTATCCGTTTTTCATCTCTTTGTTTTCTCTGCATCTCTGCCAAAGGTCAGTGTTTGTGGTGGTGATAGAGTGGGTGGTAGAGGGGGGCCCCTCTGTGGCACACAGTGAGATTAGAGTCCTTTGGAGAATGCTTGGTTCTGTCTGGATCCTAGACAGGGCTCTGTGAAGGGATCACAGAATTTAGGACCGGAAATCATCTTGGCTGAATGTCCCTGCTGGATTATGGCCACTGAAGGAATTTTCCAACAAGGGCAAACTTAATTTACCTCCATCTTTCCACTATATTCCTCGAATGCTAGGAAATGATGTTATTGGAGCTCATAGGACAGTTTGACAACTACATCTTCCCTTAGGACTCAGAGACTCAAGACCCCTCACTCCCATTCTTGCCTCAGTGCCATGGAGAAATTGGAAAGTCTCTTGAGGCCTTCACTTACTTACATGGTGCATGTTCATCATCTCAGAAAGACCCCACTGTTGTATGTATATCTCTCTGTATTTTGTCTCATTCATCCATTCATCTATTCTTCTTTTACGCATTTCCTACTTCCTTTCCTTTTCCACCTCCCTCCTGGCAACCATTCTAGTGTGTTTGATATGTATCTTTGATAAATATTTTCACACATATCCATTTAAGGACTTGTGTAAAAATTTGGGGGTGGGGGCAGGATTGCTGGATTGTAGGACATTATACAAAATGTCCTACAAAATACCTTAGATTAACAAAATACCTTAGATTGCTCTCCAGAATGACTGCAACATTCTGTATTCTCACCAGTGGTACCTGAGGTTCTGCCATCCCCACGAGCCCCCTATCACTCAGCACTGTCCAGCTTCTAATTTTTGTCAAGTTTAATGAGTATAAGAGATACCTTGTTTTAATTTGTCTATATCTGAGTTGGAACATTTCCATGTTGCTTTGTGGCTTTTTTGGTTTCGTCTTCTGTAATCTGCCAGTTTATCTCCTTTGCTTATTTTTCATTGTGGTTACTATCTTTCTCCTTGTCAATTTGGAGGTTATACAGATTTCTTGTATATTCGAGATATTATCTCTTTTCAGTCTTAGACATTGTAGAAGATCTTTTCTCATCTGTCATCTTTTAATCTCATCCACACTTTTAACCTTCATTCACAGAATAGAAATCTTCACTTTTGATATAAGAATATTCATCACTTTTGGGTATTGTGGATTTTAAGAAGGTTCTCTCCTCCCTACTTTCACAAAGATATCATCTTATACTATTAAATTTTTTTTTCCTCTTACATTTGGTCTTTAATCCCTCTGGAATCTGCCTTTATAAAAGATTTTACGTAGAGATCCAGTTTTATTTTTCTCCATGTAATGTGGCAGCTAACCCACCCCCTCTATCTACATGGGTTTGTCTCTGAGATCCCTATTTTGCCCACTGGTCCATTTATCTCTTGCACCAATACCATACTGTTTTTGTTACTATGGCTTTGTGGTATACCTAAATATCTAATAAAGCAGATATTCTCCTACCTCTTATTCTTCTTTTACAAAGTTAACTCTTTATGGATGTTTATTCTTCCATTTAAGTTTTGGAGTGAGTATATCAAGTTTCTTAAAAAAGCTAACTGGAATTATGATTGATATTGTATTGAATATATATGACATTTTTATAGTATAAGTCACCCCATTTGTGTATAGAGCCTCTCTCCATTTATTCATATCATCTTTTATATCTTGTACTAAAAAATATTTCAAAACAGCAAGTATGAATTTGGGACTGCTGAATGTAATTTCAGCCTTGAGGTGTGTACAAGAATTTTGAAAGACGTGTTTTGAATGGCAGACATTTAACATATCATCTAGATGTAAGCAATGATTCTATTCTACTTGAAAATAAAGGACTGCAGCCCTAGATACTCTTATTGGTTAAGTTCTCTCTGAGGCAGGGCTTTGCCCAGCTCAGCCTACCTCATGAAGGGAGGTGGGAAGGGGGTATCAGCACATGAGGGCTGGCATTTTAAGGCACAGCTACCCCTCACACTAGGAAAAACCGTGGTCCAATCCACATTTTAAGCTGCTAATCAGATGAATGGCTTCTCCTGTCTTGCAAGGAGAAGCTAGTAAGGGACTAGAAAAGGAGGAAGACATGGGAAAATGTGCCAGAGTGTTCTAATGTATAACCTCATCTGTTTCCTGGATTATTCCCCAACTAGGGCTGTTCAAAGATGCCTCTTCATCTTTAAGCTCCCAGTCCCTTCTTTGGAGTAACAGTCTTACTTTCTCAGTTCACAGTGATGTCACCATTCTGCGGTAAATACCTCTAATCTATAATTTATCCTCCATGTATAGATACATAGACTCCATATCACATTGTTACCATTTTTTAAAAATTTTTTTTGTGTGTGAGAGAACATTTAAGATCTACTCTTTTAGCAAATTTCAAGTATACAGCACATTATTATTAACTGTAGTCATGGTGCTGTACATTAGATCTCCAGCACTTATTCATCTTACAAACTTTGTACCCTTTGACCTACATCGCCACGTTTCCCCCACCCCCTGCCCCTGGTAACCACCATTCTACTCACTGCTTCTACAAGTAACTATAGAATTTTCAATCAAGTACCACACAATCCAATATTTTTGTTTATGTGGTGATCTTGTTTTATCATTTAGTTTCATGACCAAAATATAATAACAGTTACAATGACAATAATTATAATAATTTATTGAACTCTATGTAACAAAGTGCTAAGCACATTATATACATCATCTCATTTAAATCTTCCAACACTATTTGATGTAGGTTCTTTTATCTTTCACATTTTACAAACAGGGAAATGGAGGCTTAGAGAGAGATGTGTATCTTGCTCCATAACTAGTTTTTTTTTTTTGCGGTACGCGGGCCTCTCCCTTTGCGGAGCACAGGCTCCGGACGCGCTGGCTCAGCGGGCCTAGCCGCTCCGCGGCATGTGGGATCTTCCCAGACCGGGGCACGAACCCGTGTCCCCTGCATTGGCAGGCGGGCTCTCAACCACTGCGCCACCAGGGAAGCCCCATAACTAGTTTCTGAATTCTTAGAGACAACTGGATTTTTAAAAATTATATCATAGCTTTTTAATAGTGCAGAGAGGGGCTTTAGAGCAACCAAAAAGGAGCTCAAATTTTGGCTCCTTCATTTACAATTTGCATGAGCTTGGTCAAGCTGACAAAGCCCTCTGAGTCTTAGTTTCATTATCTGTAAAAGTGCAAATAATAATGCCTACCTCACAAGTTGTTGCAAAAATTACGAGAAATATTATATACATATTTACCGTGGTCTGGCCTGTGAAGTATGTGCTCAGTAATTGGTGGTTGATGTTGCTTATGAAACATACGTGATATTGTGGATGTTAAGATGCCATGAGTTGTCACCAAATAATAATATAAAATAAGTAATAATAAAATAATACAAGGGTATATTGTTGGGTGGTATCAAATGTCTTTTGTCTGGATAAAGGCAGGTCATAAAAGATCTGCTACTATTCCATTATTCAAATAACTGGCATCGCACTGTGTAGCCAATACGAATAGTTGAGATCTTAGATTCCATCACCAATCTTTCTTTTGCTCTGTGAATAGATTGGTAGCCTTTAAAATACATTGCTTTTTAAAGAAGTATATCAGTAATTGTTTATTTCACATAGCATTGCAGAAATGTCTAATGGTGATTTCAACCTCAGTGAAATTCAGAAGGATGTTGCTATCCTGATGTATGAAATATTAGCTTCTGTTGAGTTATTTTCAAATAGCTTACCTTACTATTATTATGTTGCACCTAAAATCAGTGCCTATTCAAAAGCAACTTAGCATAAGTAGAGATGCTGCACCTCCATCAGGTTCTCCTTCGCTATGGTTTAGTACCACAACCACTGCCTTGTTGTGTTTTTTTTCCCCTCCTTTCAGAGAACAGAGAAGCCGATGATGACAGGAAAGTGGTTGCAGAGATCATGCGGAGGTGTTTTGTTCCAACTTTAGTAACAGCCATCTCCTGGGAGGGATTTCATTTCGTTGGTCATGAGATTCGGATTACTGAAGCCATGGATTGTTACGGTGCTATTGTTTGGCCATCGGTATGAATTCATACAAAGTTTGCTGCATTTCAATGAGTTCTCATCCAATGTTGTTCGTTATTATATACTGTTTGGAAGGAGAAAGGAGGCTCCATGGTTCTCTTTTGTGACCTCAAACAACACTAAAATTTAGAAATCACGAAATAGGGAAGATGCTTTTACCAATGACTTCTATTTCTGATTTGTAGCGTTAATAAAGAGTGTTGTTTACACCTTCAGTTTTTTGTGACTATAAGTCACAGAAGTTTAGAATAGTAAACATTTTAATTTCCCATTTAACTGGTTCCATTTGAGTTAAACAATTATAATGAAATCCATTTCAGTCTCAACACGCAGAATATTCTAAAAGACCACCACTTATTTATCAATTGTCCTATGAAGGGTGCAGACCCCCTCCCCCCACTGTCTGCCTCAATCCCAAACACACACTTCTTTTTTTCTTCTTTTATAAATTTATTTATTTTTGGCTGTGTTGGGTCTTTGTTGCTGTGCGCAGGCTTTCTCTAGTTGTGGTGAGTGGGGGCTACTCTTTGTTGCCGTGCATGGGCTTCTCATTGTGGTGGCTTCTCTTGTTGCAGAGCATGGGCTCTAGGCATGCGGGCTTCAGTAGTTGCGGCACGCGGGCTCAGTGGTTGTGGCTTACGGGCTCTAGAGCGCAGGCTCAGTAGTTGTGGCACATGGGCTTAGTTGTTCCGCGGCATGTGGGATCTTCCCGGACCAGGGCTTGAACCTGTGTCCCCTGCATTGGCAGGCGGATTCTTAACCACTGTGCCACCAGGGAAACCCCACACACTTCTTTAAAATGACTGTTATTATTAGAAGTTGCTTCTTTTAAGGATAATCAAGCCTAAGTAACTGAACTCTATATTCTTAGTTCTCTTTTCTCCCCAACAATCCCCAAGGACTTTTCCTATCCTAAGTGTTGAACCTATTGAAGGATGTACTTCTGTGGATAATTTTCTGTAGTGATGTGTATGGATGCACACATGCACTCACATGGGCTCACATATGTATCATAGCGTTCGTGGGGTATTTATCTAATAGAGTTTAATTTTACTTTCTGTGATTACTTGCCAAGCACTACTTTTTTCTTTTTTTGAATTTTCATAGGCCCTTGTTCTATGCTATTTTCTGGAAACAAATGTAAAGCAGTATAACATGGTTGACAAAAATGTGATTGAAATTGGAGCTGGAACAGGGTTAGTCTCCATCGTGGCGAGTTTACTTGGTAAGCAGGTGTTTTTGATTGAGTGGGATCAGCGAATTCCATTATCCTGTATCATTACTTGCTTTTACTATCCAGTTTACTATGACCTGGGCCTATTTTTAACCCCTTAATTTGTCGAATGGGCTTTATCAGGAAACTGATGTTAAAGTCACCCATTTGGTTTTCTGGGAAGCTGGATTTTTATCCTGGCTAACTGGGATGTGCACCCCAGCATCCTGACTGCTGGAGGACGTGTGAAATACTAGGCATAAGCAGAGCTGACTATGCGGACTCAGACGATCTTTATTTAAATTTTAGCCCCATTTCAACATTCCCATGTAGTTGTATATTCCTTTTGGGTTTTGAAGTCCTATGCTTTTATGAAAAAGCATCTGTTAGAATAGAGAAAGAGTATGAGAAATCACGTCTGCTTCTAAGTTTAGGCATTTGTCCATCAATTTTCTCAGTTATTTCCATTTTTCTTTTGCAATCCCTTGTTCTTTCACCAACATCTTCTTTTCCAACTAAATGTGTGATTGTCTATATGTATGCCTGAGCCTGCTTCAGTTCAGTCTTTTTTGTTGCTGTTATCTATTTCATGGCCTTAATTTAGCTGCCTTCTCTGACGTGTGCTGCCCACATCTGTCCTGATTTCCTTCATCTTCAGAAGTGCACACCTGCCACTCTAAAATCTTGAGAGGAATTCAAGATTTAGCAGTTTACAACTTTCTAAACACTGGGGAAATATAAGACCCTTGAAGTCCTCTCCAAATATAATTTTTAGATTGCTCTGTCTTGATATTGCTTTCTAAACTCACCATTCCATTTAGTATGGACAGTGTCAGAGGCACATTGGATTTATTCCTGAAGGCTTCCTCATTTAAGAGCAGAATTTGTGTTTTGGGAAGTCGTTCATTCATAATTAAAAAATATTTTTTTATTGGAGTATAATTGCTTTACAGTGTGTTAGTTTCTGCTGTACAACAAAGTGAATCAGCTGTATGTATACATATTTCTTCTCCCTCTTGGACCTCCCTGCCCCCCATCCCACCCATCTAGGTCATCACAGAGCACTGAGCTGAGCTCCCTGTGCTATAGTGCAGGTTCCCACTATTTATTTTACACATGGTAGTGTATTTATGTCAAACCTAATCCCCAAATTCATCCCACCCTCCCCTTCCCCACTGTGTCCACATGTCTGTTCTCTACGTCTGTGTCTCTATTCCTGCCCTGGAACTAGGTTCACCTGTACCGTTTTTCTAGATTCCACATACATGTGTTAATATACGATATTTGTTTTTCCCTTTCTTGCTTACTTCACTCTGTATGACAGACTCTAGGTCCATTCACATCTCTACAAATGACCCGGTTTCATTCCTTTTTATGGCTGAGTAATATTACATTGTACATATGTACCACATCTTCTTTATCCATTCATCTGTCAGTGGACACCTAGGTTGCTATCATGACCTGGCTATTGTAAATGGTGCTGCAATGAACATAGGGGTGCATGTGTCTTTTTGAATTATGGTTTGATCCTTTTGGTCTGCTCCTATAACTTGAAACAAATATCAAAAGGTGGAAACTTTGTTTAGTCAGTGATTATATTTACCTCTCTAGACACAAAGATCTAGAGGGTCGGGGGACAGAGGGGATCCTTCCTTATCTTGGGATTTTAAAAAGATTTGTGAAAAATGATAGACCCACCCACCCCACTAGAATGTAGAGATTCATATCTCTGTGATTCTACCAATGAAATGCTTATTTTCCTCCCATTTTAATATGTTCCAGAAAATACAGTCAGTGGCCAGAGAAACTTGCCATCTTGGGTGAAGAATGGGCTCTAAACCAGTCTGGGCTGAACTAGACTTCCCTTCCATTTCTTCTTTCATGTCTGATGATGTGGAATCAGCCAATCCTAGGCTTATTTACACATTGTTTTCAGGCTCTGCTACTGCTCAAAATTCACTTTAAGGGCCAAATTTTATTGGTTTTTGCTTTCTGATTTCTTCCTGACAATGACCACCAGTATTCACTTTTACCTTGGGGATTCTTTATCTCTTCTTCATCTGAGCATTCTGTCCTCTGTCTATGATCTTTGGTTGTATGAGCACTATATGTGGGCATGAACATGGGTGTCCTGATACTTTCCATGTAATGACATTGAAAAGTCTTCTCTCCTCCCTCCATTTCTCACACTTGAGCACTTCCTGGTCAACGATACGATGCCCAGTGTTATATACACCCGTTTGGTCTCACGTGACTGGGGCTCAGACTTCTTTTAGTGAAGAACCCTTTCATCTTTCAATTGTGACATCTGATTGTTCCAATGAGGGTACCAAATACTTTGAATTTCCCTTTCTCTTGATTTTTTAAGTAGATAAATAGAAAATAACAGCAACAATAACAAAACAAGACAGACAAAAAACCAGGAGAACAGAAAAATGCAGCAGAGTGCAGAAGTGCCTGGGGAATCTAATTGTTTTTAAGGAGAGGCATAAAGGTGCCTTAGCATCCATTTTGAAGGGATTTCCCTCCTGTGTGTACTGACCAGTCCTTGACATGAGGTTAGCATTTGTGCAGAATTGCAAAGTGCATGGTGGCTTGAAACCTAATTGCTTTACCTTATCCCATGAAGGTTACTTTTCCTACTGTCCTTTGTTTCCCAGGTGCACACGTGACTGCCACAGATTTACCTGAGTTACTTGGAAACCTGCAATATAATATTTCCCAAAACACCAAAATGAAATGTAAGCATTTGCCTCAGGTTAAAGAGCTCTCCTGGGGTGTAGCTTTAGACAAGAACTTTCCCAAGGCTTCCAGCAACTTTGACTACATCCTGGCGGCCGATGTTGTCTATGCTCATCCATTTCTGGAAGAACTCCTCATTACCTTTGACCATCTGTGCAAAGAAACCACCGTCATCCTCTGGGTCATGAAATTCAGGTTGGAGAAGGAAAATAAATTTGTAGATAGATTTAAGGAGTTGTTTAACCTGGAGGAGATTTCCAGTTTCCCTAGCCTGAATATTAAATTGTATAAAGCTATGAAGAAAAATTGGAGGAGTGCATGATATCCTCAGAGGAGGACTTGGAAAGGGAAGGCAATTTCTAGTGATTATTATTGCTTTAACAAAGAACCTGGATGATCTGATATAGCTGACTTTCCCAAGGGGACACACACACACGCACACACACACGCACACGCACACACACACACACACACGTGCACACGCACCTTGCCCCAGACAGGGATTTTCCCAGATATAGCACACAGGTGTATAGGATGGCAAAGCCATTCTGTGTGGTAATTGGTTAGGACAATGTCTGCTTTCCTTATCTTTCTATAGTACCATTTATAATTATTATCGTCTTAATAAATGGTGCAGTTATTGTTAATGTATAACTGTAGAATGATGGTTAATAATAGTATGTCTAAAATGTTTTAAACATAAGCTTATGTGATTCTCTCTTTAGAAATAATGAAACGGACTATAGTGGGCTCTACAAATAAATCTGACTAGGCAGACAGAGAAGGTAATGGTCAATGTTAGATTATTGTGGCTTCATTAGTGCCAGCTTACTGGTGGTCTGTCTTCTCTGCTTGGCAGGGTGGGTCTCCAGCACACCCTCTGAAATCAGTCAAGCTGGTGGATTCGAGGTTACAGGCAAGGACATTTCACTCCAGTAAATGAAAAATGAATGGAAGAAAACATAAAATCAGTTGAGATTTTGGAGGAGCCATTGTTTTATTTTTAGGCCAAGTACAGTTATTCTGCATCACAGAAAGAGAAATAAATATAAAAACTTTTCATGTGTATAAAAATACACATGAAAAGATTTCAGTCTCTAATCTCAACCAGACATATGGCTGGTTTTAAAGTTTAAAGCTCTTCTGATAAACATATAGAGACCTAGATATTTGAAATCCTATGTGCTTTTTTTTTTTCCACAAGGACCTTAGAGATTAGAATAAAGTCTGAAGTAAGTAAAGTCAGTGCAAGAAGAGCAAAATATTAGGATTTTGTACCACGTAAGAAGTCTAGCAGTTGGTAACTCTTCTGGGTTCTCGGTGATGTTGGCTAGGCAGGCTCTGTGCCCTTGGGGTGGTACTTGCCCAGCCCTTTCTGCTTTGCTGGAAGTTCTCAGTCTACTCAGGGTTGAACAGAGCTGAAAAGTTTATTTCCTAGGACTCTGACCTTAAGCCAGGATGCAAATGTACTCTCAGTGGGTTTTTTGGTATGCACGGTTCCTGGGGCCATCTCTCAATAATTACCAGTATTTATACGCCCCTTTATAGTTTTCACAGCCTGCTGTGTACATAAAGTCAGCTAATCCTCACAAGCATTCTAAGAGTCTATGTAATATCAGTATCCCCACTGCACAGGTAAAGGAGCCGAGGCCACCAGGGGTGGAGCCACACAGCTGCAGAGTGGCAGCGCTAGGCACTCAGGCCCAGGTCTGAGTCCAGAGCCCGTGTTTTTTTTTTTTTTTTAACCATTGCTCTGCCTTTATGTATTTAAAACAGTAATTTTCCAACTCTTTTGTAAGTGAGTGAAGTCATTTCTTTCAAGTGAAATCAGTACCTGGAAAGGTAAGCAAATGCATCAGGAGAAGATGAGAATCTTTTTCTCTGGTGTCAGGGAGGCTTATTTAGAAGGTGACATTTAAGCGAAGCTGGAAGGAGGTGAGGGAAGCAGCAGTGCAGGTATTTGGGGAGGTGTGTCCCAGGCAGAAGGAACATCTCTGCCAGGACCTTAAAGCCGGAGCCCACCGGTCCTCAGGAGGAAACATCGGAGGCCAGTGAGCTCGGAGCAGGGCGAGCGGGGAGGCTAGGAAGCTTCAGTATCGGCGGCGGGACGGGGCCTTCGTGGCAGGCTGGGTTCTCCGGAAGCAGGCCAGGAGGCGGCATTTGATGTGCAGGCCATTTTTAGGGAGTGTCGTGGGGATCAAGACCTGTGGAAGGGGCAGAAGGAAGCGGGGCAAAGGTGGAGCTGCCGTCCACGGCCTCAGCCGACCCACCCCCATGGGGCTCTGGACCTGGGTGTGGGGACGGGGGGCGCTGAGACTGCTGAGCCTTGATAACCCGTGTCGCTCAGTCACCGGACGCGGGTGGCCCGGGAAGGCTGTGACCTTGGGCGAGGTGACTTACGCCGGGGGTGGGGTGAGGCGATGCCCGCGGACGTTGACAGCCCAGGGCCGCTGGCCAGCAGCGCTGCCCGCGTGGAGGCGATGAGTCCTCCTGAGGGGTCTGCGCAGCACATCAGGGCAGCCGCAACCTCAAGGCCATTGCGAGGACCTTGGCTCTTACTCCGGTGAAGCGGAGGATCGCGGGATGGTTTGGAGTAGAGGAGTGAAGCAGTTACCCCTCCGTGTAAGGACCACTCCGGCTGATGTTCCTAGGATACTACGCAGGGCGGAGGGACCAGCGGGGAGGCTGTGGTGAGCATGGCAGCCCGGGCCCCGGCGGGGACTGTGCCCGGAGGTGGCGAGAAGGGGTCGTTTCTAGAAGAGTCTGGAAGCTAATGCCCACCGACCTTCTCTCCATGTTGAGTATGAGTGTGAGGCTGACTCGGGAGTATTTGGTCCGAGCTGCTGGACATCACAGAACAAAGAACATCAGAGTCATCGGCTGAGAGGTCGTTTGCACAGCTCACGCGGGGAGCAAAAGAGTGAAGAGGGGCTGGAACGAGGACTGAGCCCCCAGGTGGCCGCGCTGAGGTCAGACACAGCTAGACCCGAGGTATGTTTTCGAGGCTCTGCCCTCCTTCCCCCAAATTATATTCGGGTCTGTTGACTCTGAAAGAATTTACTGCCACTGTGGTTTTTGAGCTGGCCAGCAGAGTCTCAAGGTTCCGAGAAACTGTCTCAGAGGCTTCTAGGAGGGTTTTAGGTGAAACAGCATGAATCTTGGGGTAACAAATGAAAAAAATGGCTCCTCTGCTAAAAAAAGGTTGTATATCACTACTAAGCTATTTTTAGTTAGACTAAAGTGTCCTTCTTTCAAAGACTGTGTTAGAACCAAGCCAGCCGTGTGGTTCTTAACAGTTCCTCTTTCTCCAAGTGTCAATCTGTCAAACACAATGCTCAACACCCATTGTTTTATTCTGTTTTATAGCATTCCCTTGCAAATTGGAGCACCCACCCACATACCCTGTGTCTCTCCTGCTTCACTCCATTCTGCGTGTTTGTCTACTTTTATCTTTGTGCTATCTTTTCTCCACACTTTTCTAGATTCAATTTTACAATAATTGAATTCCAAAAGATGTAATTTGAGTAGCTTTTTTCTATCTTACAGTTTTTTTTTTTAATGGCTAGGAATTGATGTGTTAACTTTAACCCAAGAGAATTTACTGTGAATTTTGCCTTTGCTCCCCTTCCTTCCTCCCTCCTTCCCTCCCTCCCTCCCTCTCTCTCTTTCTTTCTCTCTTTCTCTCTTTCTGTCTTTCATTCTGACAGGTTAAACTATGCTACTGAAAACCTTAGTCTATTTCTTGCAGTAACTTTCTGGGTTTCTAATAGAGTAACAATACTGACTGTCAAGGTTTTAATAGAGGTTATCACAGAATCATTATTGCTTCACAGCAGACATACCAACTTGCTGGCAATACTCTGCAGCTTAAAATTTCTGTTATATGCATGTAAACATGAGAGTTTTTGTGCCCCAGGCCATATCAGCTGACTTTAGGAAACTAAATACTGTACTCAAATCTTCTGTCTTAGAATTTACTGATTTATCCTATTTCATTTGTACCAATTTTTGTCTACCAGAATGTTAAAACATTGGTTTTCATGCCATATTAATATTTGGTTCCCTTTTTGGATAAAGAATTGTGGCATTGGGTGACTTCCTAAGAGATTTGGAGCCATAGAATAAAGAAAGAAGATGAGGAAACATAACACAATGGAATGTTCCTTTTTTTTTCCTTTAAATCCTCAGATTCCAGCAGCTTGGTGTTCTCTGTGAATGCCTGGTACACAGAGATCACGTCCAACTTGCTTTAAGCATTGCTGTTGGCATGAGAGCAGATAAGTAATTTCTGAATATCCTTTGGTAGTAAAACAGATCCACTGGGTAGGATTTTGATACAAGAAAATATTTACATGTACTAATTTTGAAAACAATCTTGGGACCTTGGGCTCTAGAAATAAAAGAATTAAAGTCAAATTAAGTAGATCAGATAAGTAAGCTTAGTGATAAGTTTAGAAGAAAGTTAATTATACTGTGCCTCTTTTCTCAATTCCACTTTAACTTAATTTTCATGGAAATCTACATGTGAAGGAAGTAAAAAAATTGTCAAATATGTGCATTTTTTCCACCAAATTATAAGGCAGTACTAAATAAGATTGGGAATGCAGCAGGTAAATCCTTTCACAAAATGTAGGGGATACGGGCAAAGCAAAATTGAAAAATCATAGATATTTGGTGGTGTGTTTGTGTGTGGACCTAATTCTTCATGTCTGCTTTATGGAGTCTGGAAATAGTTCACAAATGATTTCCACATCCAGGTTTTGACATTTTTGAGTTTGTGATTAAGTCTAGAATTGTGAAAGTTTGTGAAATTAAGTCTAGAATATTTACCTGCAAGCCCAATTTCAGTATGGGCTCTGCTTCCAAGTTTCACACATAATCAAAGACAGTGTTCTGTACAATTGTATGGTTGTATTAATGGGACAGTTGTGTCTTAGGTGGCCTTAGGTAGCATCAATTAGTTCTGTGGTCATACTAACTCCTTTTACTAAGAGTTTCTGGCCTGGACATGAGTATTTACTTGGATTGCATATAGCTATGTTGTAGTTAGATTGCTGGGCACACACCATTGACTGCCTGTGCTATTGAACTAACCTTTGGCCTCTATCATCAACAATGCTTATACTGGGAAAGCTTGAAGGCAGGAGCTTTTCCTCTCACTTCTCTCAGTTTCTTTATTTCTGAGGCAGTTGTCTTTCCTTGAAATCCAGTCAAGTTTTAGAATTGGCACTCAACCATCAAGGAATTTAAAAGCATCACTAAAAATGAAAACAGATGTCCAGGTCAATTTTTCGATAAATGGCATTAACAGAAAAAAAAAGGAAAATATTGGCTATCTGCTGCTAATTACTAACACTTTAGCATACCAAAATGTATTGTTAGATTTTCTAAACAAAAGCACAAACTGACTAAAACTAAAATAAGGCATATAAAAATACTTTAATGGCTAGGCATTATTTCATAATGCCACAAATACAGGACACAAGGCATCTGAAAATTTTTTATTTGGTAATGCTAGATTTTGTAGCTTAGGCTTTTGAAAATTTCCATATTTTCATTGTCCACAGTCTGTATGTCTATACTCTTCTTTGTTTTGATTTTAAATTATCAGTCACCCCTTACCTTCAGTGGATTTTGTGTGTGTGTGTGTGTGTGTGTGTGATGATTTAATTTGGGTTTTCTTATCTGATGCCATGGTTTAATTTGGGTTTCTTATCTCTTTCTGTGTTTCCTTTGTTGGAAGAGTATAAATCATAATGGTAAAGGTTTTCTCTTTGTCCCAAACCATCATAAATAGCCCAAAGAACAGGCCATAAAAATGTAAGAAATTCTTAGATTAAAAAACATGAGTAATGTTTTTTACCCACCTGGTGTTCAGAGGTAAAAGTACAGTTTGCAACTAGTAAATTATTAACACTTTTCTACCAAGGATTTCCTTCTTCCTTAGGATCTCTGTGATTAATATGTCATCAGTTTAAGAATGAGAAGGGTGTCAAACATTATAAACATATTTTATAATCATGTATTCAAAAGAGGAATTGAGGAATAATTCTAATATGATTATAATTAGTTGGAATAATTATACAATTATTCTAATAAATATAATATATAATAAGAATGTGTAGCATTCTTGGGGTGGGGGGAGCAAAGTGCTAGAGCGGCTGGGAACAGATTTCATATTTTTTTGAAGGTAATTCAAGGAGACTTAAAGGCAATTAATTATAAGAATGCAAAATAACTAATGTAAATACCTTTTACTTTCCTGATATTTTATTTTTCTTCTCTAGGTAGCCATCTAATGGCTGTCATTCATTCATTCATTCATTCAGTATTTACTGAAACCCCAAGCAGGGGGCTGTAGACACACAGTGAACAAGGTGGATGGGGCAGTCCTCCTGGAGGCTTCAAGTTCAGTGCAAATGGGCAGATGCAGCAAAGTCAATGCATGGAGGGGGAGACAGACATGTTTTCAGTGCAGTGTCAGGTGTGGTGATAGGAGGGGAACTAATCCACAACCAGGGCGTCAGTGAGGACTTCCTGGAGAAATAACCTGTAGCTGGGAAAGGAGATGGAGACAGGGGCGCTTTCTGGGAAGCCGAGAGTAACCCCCTTGAACCACTCTCTGGAAAAATTGTAGCTTCTAATAATCCTTGCTGAAACAACTCCATTTACGGAATACTCACAGCTTTGGTCTCTGTTTTAGATATTTTACATAGAGCTCACTGAATACCTCTAATACCCTGGAGATATTAGCCCATTTTACACATGAAGAAACTGAGGCTCAGTGGGGGTGAGCAGCTTCTCTGATGTGTGTCCGGTTGAGATGGGAACCTCGGTCTCTAAGGCACCAAAGCTTCTGCTCTTTTCGAGAACTGCCCTGTGTCCATTTTCCACTCTGAACCTTGCAAGAAAATCCTGAATTTGAATTTTATTCTAGCTAATTCGGAGCAATTCACTAATTGCTCTGAATTTAGTGAATGCTGTCTTTATTTGTACAAATTAGCGTAAGTGGGATACTATTGCTATGTATCTGCATTGTGAACAGTAAATCACTAGGAGAATGAGTGTACAAGCAAAGATTTAAATAAAATTTTCTTTGCAAAAAAAAGAAATCGGACAAAGATTTATTTAAAGATATGTAGTGATCTTAAAACAGCTCAGGCCTAATGAGGTGAAGGCAGAGGATGCCCTCAGGTGACTCCTCAGCGGGAAAGGCCAAGGGGGCGGGGCTGAACTTTAGAACATCGTCTGATCTGTCAGTGACGCGGCTGTTTACAGGGCTGTTCCTAGGTGGGAAGGCTCGCTCTGCATCAGCACGGAGCTAAGCCGGGGGGGGAGGGGAGCATCCCAGTCCAGGAAACCACCTTTCCAGCAATCTTCCCAGGCGAGGGCAGAACTGACTCAGGCAGCGTGGCCTTCTGCAGCCCCAGCAGAGGGCACCGGGGCTGTGCCGCGGAGACTGGAAGGACACCAGAGTACTTGGCTAAGTGGAAACGGCCAAGGGCGTCCATCAGCCTGAGGTTTATCCGTTGACAGGCCCCGCGGTTCCGGGAGGGCGATACTGATACTGCTGAGTAAGCATCACACCCTGGCGGGAGGCTTGGACCACTGACAGGATGTTAGGCGATGCGGGCGGGGCCGGGCCGGTGCCTGCTGCCGTGACGTCAGCACAGGGCAGCTGTCAGGGGCTGTCCCTGAGGGCCCCGCTCAGAGGACCCTGGCCATCGCCGCTGGATGGCGACGTGAGCCAGAGCACAGAATGTTCCAGAAAACAGAGAAGGATGTATGTAAACTTCCGGCGGGACTTGGCTACCCGGGGCAGTGACAACTTCCAAGGCGGGATGGTAGGCAGGAAACTCTAGAGAGAAAACCTCAAGATTCCTGAGGAAAAGGAATCGCAGGATAAGTTTCTCTCTTTATTTATTACGTATATTCCTGTGTACACTGACCAGCAGACACCGAAGCCCGCTGACCGACCTCTCTACTCAGCAAGTGCCTGAATGTGGAGTCTGATAGGTGCAAGAAGTGGAAGCCAGAATCTGAGGACATGTCAGCTCGAATGCCCATAAAATCCACTTCAGATAAAAAGCGTGCATTGATTCTATCTTTTGCTTCTACCAACTAGGTGAAAGGCTAGGGATTTGGATACCATTCCCTCAAAACTCGGGGAATTAAATCCGAGTCTGAAATTACCAAACATTGCCACTGGGAGGCCCCAGTGATCTGTAAAATGAACTTCCCTATCTGAATAAATAAGTGAAAATAAAAGAAATGATTTAAACAGGTGAATTGAATTATGAAAGATTATATGCAAATGTACCCAAAGCGGTAAGGGGTAAATACAGCACAGTAAAATGTGATAAATACGTGGTGCCGTCTGCCTTCATTAGGGATTGTTTAAATTCCACCCCTGCCTCAGCGCTGTGCACACGAAATGAAATAAAGTCTCCAAGAAAAGGGAAAACAAGGTCTGGTTTCCAGTTATTTGAACACTATACACGTGCTCCTGGCTGCATGTGTGTGTGTTTGTGTACGTGTGTGAGGGGGAGGGGAGGAGAGGCAAGAGTATAAATATCTGGCCATATTTTCATTTCTTGTAATACAGTGGTTCTCAAACCTGAGCGTGGCTCAGAATCACCTGGAGA